GTGATACATGTCGTGCCAATGCGTAGACCGAATAGTATATTTATTTTCCAAACAACACCACGGCATTCCTCTTTCTTAGTTTCTTTGTATGTTTTTTAAAATTTATTTCAAAGAATATATGTTGTTTCCAATCCATCTTAAGGTGTAAATTAATATGAAGACCGAATAATATATTTATCTTCAAGACCCTGGTGTTGTTTGGGAGATAAATTTACCTGTTGACTTTAGACCCGTTCATGCATCAGGCAGTTTTATTATAAACGTTATAAAAAGATTAAAAAAAATGTCAAGTACAGAAAAAAAAATTCTAAAACTAAAATAAAATATGCCGAAAATTATAATTGTTTCATAAATTAATAAAAGAACGGAAAGGAAGGAAGAATGGGTTTTCAACTTTTCATACCCATAGATGAGCTCAAAGTGATGCAGCCGTGCTTAATCAGCACGGCTCGGGGATGGCCGGCCGTTGTTTTTGTTGTAGAAATCCACACTCACGTCGATCAGATGAACCCCCCCCCCCCGGGGTTACGTGAGCGGAACACAAAACAGTCGAATCAACGCGAGAAAGCCAATATATATAGGATAAACTTCATGTAAGGCTTCAATTTTCAGCTAAAAAAAATATAAGATTTTAACTTAGTTTTTTAACTTTCAAAAATATTTTTTAATTATTTAATCTTAAAATTATTAACAAAAAATAATAATATTAAGATTTTAAATACTGGTAAAATATTATTAAATGTAAACATATTAAACTTAATTTTTAAAATAATCATGATTGTTACAAAAACATCATTATGTAAGCTTAATAATTTTAGAGTCAATAAACCAAATATGTATTTTTTAGAGTCAATGAGTCAAATTAAAGCTTTGTATAAAATTAAACGATTAAATATACTTCCAACCCTTCTCTCCATGATCTTGTTCATGCTATCACATGTATGCTTTCCATTAAACAAAATCAAGGTGCAAATAAAGCCACAGGAATAGGGTGTCCCTCCCCCATCGTTAACCCGCACCCTCCATGGCAGCGGTGCCGGCGAGCACATACATAGACCACACACCTATATACCCAAGGACATCTCATGATTTTTTAATTTTTTTTATAAAGTTACAACTTTTGTAAATGATTTTTTTTTTTTATAAACTACATTTTAAAAATGACTAAATATTTAATGCATTTGTATTTTTATACTGATTTAATTACATTTCTCTCCTATTCATATTTTTTTTCATTCATTCTGTTTCATTTTTTTAGAACTTATTTCTTCCTCACTCACCTTTTCTATTAATAAAGACATCTATAAAAAAATAAGTTGCAATTTTTATATATTAATTGTTTTCAAATAATTTTAATCAATTTTTTATCTATGCAATTTAATTAATTTTTTTGTCAGCCGTGTAATTTAATTATTTGTATCTTATAAAAGATGGAGGGAGTAATAATTAACAACAATAATAAAAATGGAAATTGGCGCGCGCATAGATCCCTCCAAGATTTCGCACCCAACATTGCCATGCTTTCCGTTCCCCTACCTCCACACCAACTCCATTCTCCGATGATGCCCATGCCCGTCACCTTCGCCTTCCACACATAAATGCGCGCGTCCCAAGAATTTATAAGCATTATTATTTTTGTATTCTAGACACAGAATGTAGACGCCTAATATGTATTAAGAAAATTAATTAGCTATTTTCCCCCGAGTCCAGGGCAAATAAAACGGTGTGCGTCTAAATGAGGAGAGAATGCTCACTTCTTGAACCCAAATATGCTCGTATTTATTTTAACTCTGCGTGACTTGGGGGTTGTGTTTCGAAGTTACTTCCTGGTATTAAGCGGGCGCTTCCAGACCATTCGAAGACTCGACTGTACAATTTTACTCCTCGGAAACAAATTAAGATCAAAAATATTTTTTAAAAGATCACGTCGTGAATCGTGACTATTAAAAAATATTGTCTCGAAACAACTCCCTGCAACTTGCCCTTGAAACTTGCTTATCAGAATGGAGACTTGTGTGGTGGTACTTGTCAGCTTGAAGTTTCACGAAGGCTCAAGAAACTGGATAAATCAATCATCCGAAATGTTCAACTCAGCATGTAGATGCCAGAAATTTAATGCATTTTAAGTTGACAAAGTATCACGCACAGAATCTAATAATTAATTAAATATTTTGGGTAATCGTTTAGCTTAACCACCAATTAGGATACAGAAGAAAGTGCTGGGATTTATCTGACGCCAGACTTTAATTCTTCTTTGATTTTTTTTGGGTAATTGTTATCCAAATTCAGCATTTGCGTCCGAAAATAAAATTTTCTCTCGGACTAAGACATCAGCATATAATTGTATTTTGGCCAAAAAAAAAAAGCATATAATTGTATTACGTACACACGTATATGTATCAGGTTTAATTTTGGTGTAGAAGAAAGAAGATAATCGTTGTTGAAGTTTTCTAAATCATAGCCAAATTATAATCTAAGATTAAGATATGGCAAAATCTGGAGCTGTGTTACTTCAAAACACATTACCTAAGCTAAGGGGCATTGGCTTTTACAGAAATCGACCTTACACCTTCCTTGCTCCTCTGTTCTGATCGATACTTGATTCCATTTCGAGACAGTGCCCCTTGGATTTTGATTGCCGGCTTGGTAAATGACAACAATGGTCACAAATTCAATTATAATTTAAATTGGCTTCTTTTTTTTTCAGTTCAGATTTAATGTATTCTCCTTTACAGAGCTTTAAAAAACAAATACTATAAGTCTTTAATTAAAAACGTTGTGTGCGTGCGTGCGTGTGCACCTGAGTTATATATGGGCATTATTTTTCGCGAGTGATGTTTCCTTTCCATTTGTTCTTTGTTTTTCAAGTCTTAGATAATCAGAAAGAAACGCAAACAATTGATTTCAAATTTAAATTCTGCTTGGGCGGGGTGTAGATGTAAATTGCTGTAATGTATACTTAAATTAGAAACGAATTTTAAAATTTTAAATCGTCATTCATTCAGATGAATGCTTATGACTAATAATGAATATAATTATGAATTGAGAAGAGCATGAATATTTTTTTGTTTTTAGCAAGTACGAGTATTCTCCTGGAAGCAGTCTTATTTGAGACACTGACAAATATTTAATTTGGATATCTCTCCTACCAGATATTCAAACATTAATTTACCATGTTGTAGGGAATTAACTTTTTTAAAAATACTAAATGGCATTTGCATGAATATAAACTAGAGCCCTGTGGACATTTTTGCCCCATCAACATTGAAGCAGGGACAGCGGACGAAAGAGACAGCATGAAATTTAAGTAGGCAGGGGCTAAAACATGGGCGAAAAGTGAGCAGTGAAATAAAAAGGTGATATTGAAAAAGGGTGGGATATTTAGTGTGGGGAACGCAGAAGCAGGTAGATATTTTAGTGCGGCGTGGGGAACATGTATAGTTATTATAGTATTGGGGATATGGATGGGGATGGGGATGCCCGGAAGTCTAAACGCAGCCCACCAACCCAGGCTTGAAACCCTAAAAAAGATATTTTGGCGCCTCCATTATGACACTCATATCCACATACATGGATCATAGATGGATAGCCGCGTGAGGTGAACGCATTTTGAAGCTTTCCCTGAGGAGGTTTAACATGACAAGTATTGACAAATACATTAAAATTAAAACGCACCAAAACCCGATATGTTGCACTCTGAACCTAATATTTTGGGGCAAGTCCAAATCTACTCCGGCAAGATGCGAGATTTATAAATAAAATCAAAAGATTAACATAGTTTAGATAAGTCAGTGGAGGCCGGACCTGCACTACTACGCAGGGAAGTGGTCAGGTCAGGGAATGCATGGGTTAATGAAATTTTACAGTCGCAAGAAAAGCCAATTACCTGTTTAGTTACCAGAATTAGTGACATGTGATTAAGTTAATCATGTTATGCTTGGAAACATATTCTGATATTCTCATACCAGTGAGTAGACAGCCCATGATATAATTTAAATTCATATTAATGAGGCTTGGTCATCAGTAGGTATGAGAAAGTAGAGTAAAACTATTCCTTTCCTCCCCCTTCCTTATTTATTTTTTCAAAACTCACTAATTTCCTCTGCTTGTATAAACTTAGCTTGGGTTGTTATGGATCTCCGGTTTTTAAATAAATAAGAGTGGGAGAAGATAAAGAAATTGACCCAGTTTTAATTTTTTTTTGGGGGCACATGAGAACATTTTTTGGACTCAGCTCTGGATATATTCTTCAAATAAAGTTAAATCTGCACAACAATTTACTCTCTCATTCAGTATATGGACGATGGAGCATTTGAATTCCCAAAAATAACGCAAATAATAGATATGGCTACTTTTAAAATACTTTTCCTCTGTTTTTAAATATAAAATTTATTTTATAGTGTAATTTAAACTATAAATTTTATATTTAAGATAAGAGAAATAATAAATAAGAATATTACACAGACTTCGATTTGCCCCGCATGAATTCTCTAGATCGTACAGCTAGCATGACATATGCGGCCAAATCTCTCGAAAGCAACAGTCGTGTAAAAGATCTTTTTCTCAAGTCTCATATGGCAGCACATAACAGAATAGAAGAAAAAGAAAATCAGAATAAAAAATGATTTATAAATACGAAACATTTTTTGTATCTTTAGATTAAAAAAATTAATAATAGTCGTAAAAATACAAGCATACAACTACATATCTCAATCTTCTTATGTGAGACATGATTTTTTTTAGTATTTATATTATTCAGAGGGGGGCTTAACTTGACGCCGTTTGGCCAACCAGAAAAATGAGACGAGTGATGGAAAAATCAAAAATGAAAATTCGCGGATGGTTGTTCAAGCACAAACCTGAGGGGCTGAGACTCACGCCTATTTTTCAAAAGAAACTTCTTACTCTTCTTCGTCGCCGTGTCTCGTGCCTGTGACAGGGACACCCAGAGACTGTGCGATTTTTTCTCTTTTGAAGAAAATGAATCCCAAAACAATTTTTTGTCCCCGCTGAGAGGAGAGAGAAAGAGAGGCTCACCTTAAGCAGCACAAGCTTTAAATGCGAGTTGGTTGATGGTGGTTTCTTTCGATCTACTCTTACGGACTAAGCATTGTGGAGCGCATCTTTCCTTTCTATATAATAATTACTCATAATATATAACTCATCCTTAAACCCAAATCTCCTGCTTCCAAGATCGATCCTACCCTGAACCATACCCACTCTGTCTTTTCGATTCCTGCAACTTGGAAGAGCTGAGTTCCCAATTCCTAAAATTTCTTGGCTACCCTGATGGATTTTGTGGCGAATCCTTTTCCTTTGCCTTCTTCCGCGTTGGGCTCCTTCGGGAGCTTCGTTGAGAGGGTTAGACGCATAAGCAGTCTCGCGGTTTCTGTTATAATTGGAAACATCCTCTCTGCGATCTTGACATTTTGCTTTGCCTTAGGTTGGTAGATCACTCTCTCCCTTCCGATTACATTCTTACTTGCCTCTGACATTTCAAGCTAAGGTTCATTTGCGCTTGATGGGTTCACCCTAGAATTGTTTTTGGTCTTTTTACATTTACGTCGAATTTGTCATTGTGTGTTGATATGTCCAACGATCGTTGAATTCGCAGAGCATAATTTTTGGTGTTTTCAGTGAAGACAGACAAGCACTTTTCTTTCGGTGAAAAATGAATTCTGTGTGTGCCCTTTGTTTGTCGGATTGTATGTCATATGTTCATCTTTGTTTTTATCTGTTCTCACAGCAACCAAAAAAGAAAAACTTTCAAAATCTTTGTTCACCCTGTTCAATTCCCAACGTTTAGCTTTTGCTGCGAGATGTGCCTCTGTTGAAATTCGTTAAAGGCTAATACGATAATGGCTTGTTTGTCGGCAGTGGGAACGTTATTGGGTGCCATGACAGGAGCTTTGATAGGCCAAGAGACCGAGAGTGGCTTCATTAGAGGAGCAGCAGTTGGTGCCATTTCCGGAGCTGTTTTCTCCATTGAAGTATTTGAATCTTCTCTTGTTCTTTGGCAATCTGATGAATCTGGGATTGGGTGCCTCTTATATCTGGTGAGTAACTACTAAGCAGATGACCCTCAAAACTTTCGCTGCTTTAAGTTTACACATGCAGCTGAAAAAGTAGCGGCCTCCTGAGATTTGATTGTCATTATTACTTTCTGAATTATGCAGATTGATGTCATTGCTAGCCTATTGAGTGGGAGACTTGTGCGTGAGAGAATTGGCCCTGCCATGTTAAGTGCTGTCCAAAGTCAGGTTAGCATTTTTTGTCCAATTAATGAGACATATATTTGGATACGAACTCTCATCGAGAAGATTGCTCATTATATCTCTGCTCTTAAATGTCAGATGGGTGCTGTTGAAGCAAACTTTGAGGAGGTTCAAAACATCTTTGACACTGGTGGTTGCAAGGGCTTAACTGGGGATTGTGTTGAGAAGATCCCGAAGATCACAATCACAAATGATAATATTATTGATGCTTCGGGTGAAAGAGTTTCTTGTTCAGTCTGCCTCCAGGTTTGTATTGCTGCAGTGTTTATTGGTTAATGCCTGTGGTTACTATGACGTTGCCCTTTTATCCATAAAATACCAGGAGGGGGTGGTTTCTATCTATGTTTCTATATAGTGTGAATATATGCATATCTGTATCTAAAGAAAATAGTATCCATTTTGGGAATTGACATTGGGAATTTGTACATGTTCAGGACTTTCAGCCTGGAGAGACGGTTAGAAGTTTGCCTCATTGCCATCACATGTTCCACCTACCATGCATCGATAAGTGGCTCTTCAGGCACGGTTCATGTCCGTTATGCAGAAGGGATCTGTAATTTTGTATGTCCATAGTACAAAAAAGTTCTTTTATTGTTTATACAGTCTTTCACTTCTAGGACTTGTATTGGGTTCCAGGGAGCATCCCATGAGCGTATCATTGTACTAAATTAGTGTAAAGAAAATTTTGATATATTAAATAGTTTTGGCTCCTTCTCTTCGCTGGCCTCCTTCACTGATGACTTTACATAGGTGTTATTTTACTATAGGATTTCTCAATAAACGAATGAAGTTCTTATCTTTTTTGCTTCTGTCAATATCGTGTACGGATACATCTTCTAGACTCAATTAATGAGAGGGATAAAGATGAGAAAGAGTTATATGAAATTCACTCAAAAGATCCACTCACTCTCCTATTCACGGTTCTGATTGGATGTCTTCCTGCGGTAACAAGTCCTTGTGATCTGTCCCGGTCTGATACAAATATCAGAAACGAGGTGATGTTCACGTGGTCGATGATACCTGTTTTAAGGGGTTGGTAATCACATATGGTTGAATACTAGGTAAAATTGTAAAATGAAGCCATCCCTCGTCCAAGTTTGGTTTCCTTCTTCAAAATTTGATTTGATTCTGCGAAACGATTCATTCATTCTAATTGTAAAAACGGGAACGTGTGCAAGTCGAACGGCCGTGTGATGATGCAGATAAGGAAAGAAATGGGAGATAAAGTCTAGAGAAAATGGAATCCGGAGAATCAGCAAGTGTCTCTGACATTCAGACAACGGTCTCAATAATTTTGATTTCCCAGTCAAATCCATTAAAGACAGCCGCTGGTGCTTATACCCGCCCGGGACGAAAACCATAAAAGGCAGGAAAATTCCATCATCAGATGCTCCTTGGTTTAGTCAAATATCTTTGACGGCTCATTTGCCCCCTTCAAATGCTGAAAAGCCGGGAATGGGCTAGGGGCAATACTCGTTCTGCGACCTTAAAAGTTTAGATTTATTCCGTAATAAAAAGTTGTGACCAGAACCGATCCCGGTCTCAAATAAACGTGGAGTTAACGTTGAATTCGTTTCGTTCAAGATTAATAAAAGCGAGGTTGATACTAATGCAGGCACATGATGAAATCTGAAGTTGATGATAAGAAATTCGGAGGGGACACGTACTTAGGCGGAGCGAAACTGTAAATATCGGGACGGGCGGAGTGACTGATGGCGTGATCTATCTCTTCACCTGCCAAATTAAAGATACGTACTTGAGGGAACGTAAATTGGCATTTAAACTTCCCCCGAATGGAATTAAAAGCAGTCCTTGTCCACAGCCCAGCCCCAACTGATGGTATATTTTCTCTTTTTTGGTTTCTTCACAAAAACTATTGTTAAACGTAAAATTGAGATAAAACTTTTTCTATATATTTATTTTGTATATCATAAAATTATTTTAAAATTATAATTTGATTTTCTATCCAAACATCCTATTCATTTAATGTTTAAGCTGTTTTTAGTTCCTTGCTTATATTGCTCCCACCTATCTTTCTGACACGAGATAATGTGGGAGCGGGGGAGGGCAGCACGCAGCATTTGCAGTCAGTCTGCCACATTTACACCTCCTCCTTCATAACCCCTCAACTAATGGGCCTTTTTAAAATTCACATAAGCCCATCTCTTTCGCCCATTGTCTATGGGTTTATATAGCAGCATAGTGGAATACGTAGTCACTTGAAACAAATTTTCTTAGTACATTCACGACTCATTAAAAATATGATTTTTTTCAATTCATCTAATACTTATTTTCTTTAAAAAAAAAATTGCTTTAAAAAAGTTATTACTCTTTTGATTAATCAAAGTGAAACCTGCCGCCTTATTCATATTCGCAAGTACGGTGGGTTGAGCATGTCAAACTCCAAGGCTGTGAGATTCTCAGCCGCGAACCACAATAACCCGGCGAAATCTGTGAACATTTTATGCTGGAATAGCACTCATGAAAATACGTTGTTTTGATCCATTACTCTGCACGAAGCCATGGGCTCATAAAATCACAATCCAGGTTGATATTTATGAGTATATTGTAATTTCATAGATTCCATACAAATGTTCTGATTTTCCTTCTATAGGTCTTATTCTTCATTTTTTAGTGGCCACTTACTTTTCGCCAAAAGTGGTCATGTTCATGTGATTATGTTCACATGTGAGCGCTGAAGCTAAACCCAACAGTTACCTGTGGTTTAAATTTTAGGACTCATGAGCATTTAATGAGAAACTTACCTATCCTGACTCAAATGGAAGTCCACGGACCTCCTTAGCTGTCTTGTTAATACTCCTTTCACACATTTTTTCCTGGCATTAGAGCAGATAGCATAGATTTGAAGGAACAAGTCCAAATCTGGGGGTTGAATAAATCAAATTGAAAATTTCAAAGCAAATATACTTTGGTGGTCCTTTGGCTTTTTGAGGAGCCTTTAGTTTCTTTCTCTGCTCAAGTTCAATTATTATATTAATTGGACATGCATGTTAAAGAAACAGAAATAATGGTGGAGCCGGCACGTTCTATTAAGTTCCATCAAACTGACCGATACCCCACTGATCGGTGCCGTTTAAACCAAAATGATATTCACTTGGTAAGGGACTGTAAATGCTAATGTCCAAAATCTGAGAAATTTCCTCACTCATGGCCAAAGGTTATATTAATATTGCCCGCTAGAAATAGACAAGATGTATACAGAAATAAATGCAGGCACCAAAGGTCAAGATTCCCAGATGCTCACAACTTAAAAGACTCAGAGTCTTAAATTACTCAGAAATTTGTCTACGCAGCAATCCCTGGGCTAACCAGGCAAATGATACCCCTAACATATTGGTGTCTTTATTTTCTGAGCTGCATATTGATAAATCATATGGGTCATTAAAAGAAATAATTGAAAAATCATTGGCATGTTGCTGTCAAGTTGTAGGCCAAAACAAACACTAAAGCCTAGAGGGCATGATCAGATTGCCATGTTAAGACGTTCACTGGACAGATGAGCTCGATGTACTTAACGAAGAAGAGAAAAAAGGCTTACTGGGTCAATTGCATTAAATATCATAACCGGGGCGATGCTTAACTGCTTATCCAGAAGGCTGGAAATAAAATATCCTCTACTGGCAACTCTATTCATGCTTCGTAGAGAATACATTACTGATTAATTAGTTCGATGCTCTCACTACCAGGTGGTAGAGATCTTTGGCAGTTTGGCTTATATGCCGTCCGAAGACAAGACCAAGTAAGCCAAGACTTGCCTTTCCGGGACACAATGGATTTACAATTCAAAAATGTAACTGATCATAGAAATATAAGCAGCAGAGGACAACGTATGCTGCCGTAATTAGATTGCAATGGGTGATCAGCACCGCTGTTTATTGGCTGCTCCATCGCAGGAAATGGCAAAGCCATTCCATCCCAAAAGCAGTTGCTTCCAAACTGTGTTGGTATGGCTTGTTTCAGGCATTTTAACGGTAATGGTAGTTGCATTGTTGTACTGTCTCTTCAAGAGACTACTTAAGTGCAAAAGGGGTTCGAAAGGTGAGCTAAAGGCACAATGAACGGAATTTGGAAGCAGAAATTTTCAAATCCAAGTATAGAATTGAAGGCACTGAATGTTGCAGGTGCAATAGATGATAAGAGTTCGAAATATGATAATATATCGTTAAGGCGTTTTGATTTGGAGGCACTAGCGAAGGCTACAAACAATTTTAGCCCAGATTGCTTGCTGGGTTCTGGTGCGCTTGGAACGGTGTATAAAGGAACCTTCGAATCAGAAGGAACGTTGGCCATTAAAAGAGCTCACGGTGAATCATTCCTAGCCAAGGAAGAGTTCAGAAAAGGTCAGATTCGAATTCGACAATGATATATCCACAACTCCACCTAAATTAAACCAGTACTAATATTTCATGCTTGTCTTTTTCCTTGTAGCAGAAGTGAGCCTCATTTCGAAAGTAAAGCACAGGAATCTTGTTAGTTTGGTGGGATATTTTGAAGAATCTGGTAATTTTTTTGTTAATTGAAAAGTGATAACAGAGTATATACAGTATACTTTGTGGAATTTGCCAGTAAATGATCTTTACAGAGCAGAGCTTGTCATGGTAATGTGGTCGTATTTCCAAAAGCAGGAGATGGGTCCAAATGCTGGTTTATGAGTATGTGCCTAATGGTTCTCTGCTCGAATGCATGATGGGTAAGTACGTCAGTTTGATCAATTCGATGAATCAGTATTATATTTGTCTCTACGTAAAGTCCATTTATAATTCAAGTGTAAGGAAAGAGACGAGGATGAAAACATGAATACTTGCTGAGAAAAGCTTCAATACCATTTCGAATATGACATTTTGGAATCATAGGAAATAGAGGGAAGAGCTTAACTTGGAGGCAAAGAGTAAACGTAGCAACAGGAGCAGCTAAAGGTACATTCATTTTATTTCTTTCTTTCTTTGCATCCAAAAAAAATTCACTGTTAATTAGCAAGAAATTTCCTGATGTAGAAATTCGGGATATTTTACAGGTATAGCTTATTTGCATGAAGGGGTGACACCAAATATAATTCATCGTGACATCAAACCGAGCAACATCTTACTAGCGAAGGGTTTGAGGCTAAAGTTTCAGATTTTGGGTTGATAAAATCAGGACCAACTAGTGATCAATCTTATGTTAGCAGCCAGATCAAAGGAACCCCAGGATACCTTGATCCCACTTATTGTTCAACCTTTCATTTGACCACTTTCAGTGACGTTTATAGTTTCGGTGTCATGCTTCTCCAGCTTATTTCTGCTAGACCGGCCGTTGATACCAAAAAAGATCAAAATATTTCTCACATTATTGATTGGGTAAGTCGTGCAAATCTTTATTTAATCATATATAATTTCATTCTTTTTCGCTATATGTTTTGATATTTTCACATCTATGATGGTGGCCCTTTTCCTTAGATCTATACCAATATAATAAATATGGTTGATGCAGGCAAGGCCTAGCTTAGAGAAGGGTAATATTGAAGAAATTATAGATGTCAATTTGCTATGTGAGCCTTGCAATATGAAGGTTATGTTGAAGATGGGTCAGCTTGCTCTCAGATGTGGGGCTCAAGTACCAAAATATCGGTCTACAATGACTCAAGTGTATCGAGATCTAGAAGAAGCTCTTTATGGAGCTGATCACTTGGCTGGCAAACTATCTTCAAAGAATTTCAGAAAATCAAGTAGCACATCTCAAGAATCAGCAGAGTCAGGGGCTTTCAAATCTATAGAAAACGATGACTATTCAAAGAGTTCTGTGAGCATAAATGGTGCTGAATTTCGAAAGTTTCATATTGATATGGATAGTTTATCCTTTCAAAGCACAAACTTAAGATGCCTAGAAAATAATAGTATTAGCATTAACACTGATGTCAATACTTTGAGGAGAATTCAAGAAGATAAGGCTACACAAAAGGCAGTAGCTTCAATGAATTTTGTGCCTGGGTCTTTGGCAACCCTTAAAAGTGTTTCTAAGAAGGATTTTTTCGCAAAACGAGACGAACTCCTCTATATATTTACTTCGTAAACTGTAAAAATATTTTTAAAACTATAGTTTTGTTTTTATCCAAATACCTTCTTAATAACAATGATCATTCGTTGTGCTATCATTTTAATTGTATATCAATCACAATTACATACACAATTTTTTTTTTTAAAAAAAAGACAACAAAATAAGTTGCGAAAGCAGGAAAATAAATTGACCCGGACTGGAGGCACTTTACAAACAACTATCTCAAAATTAATGAACCTTAAATTTTGCACGTTTGTTTCAAATCATAATTGTACGTCTCTCTATTTTGATAATCCTTGGTTGGTCTGACGTTTAAAAAAGCATCATAATTTCAACTCCTTACGTGATAACGTAATTTTGATAATGGGCGAAAATTACTATCAATTCATTAAAATATACGTGCTTGATTGCTGGCAGGGAACTTTGCTCGACTTGTAACTCCTACGCCGTAAGAGAACCTTTGCTTTATCTAAAGTTTGCACTCCATAAAGTATCTCCATTTTGAGCATACTGAAGCATACAGAAGTGCTAAAAAGTCTGAAGTCTAGCAAAACTGGTGGCTTCAGCTGAAGCTTCGACTGCACATCTTTTGTCACAGAGTTAATTAACTACCATTTTCTTCTTAAAGCGTCTTCGCATTTCCGCTGTAAGTCACAAGGCTTGCATACACTTTAATAGAAGCCTTTGAAAACTCAGCTAATGACGATAAAACACTACAGAACTCGCTCTGAAAAGCCTTTAAAGTAATATGCTGTGTCTCTAGCATACTAGCTCGGTGCTTTGCCTTCCCGGCATCTAGCTTCTTCCTATGTATCTCCAAAAGCTCTCTCTGTTTTAACAAATATTGAACCGGAGTACGCATATTTACCTCTGAACCCTGCACAGATTGCTCTGGTCCAAGAATTTTGCATTCCTCCCTCTGAAGAGCAATGCCCCTTCTATCAACTTCCTTGGCAAGTTCATCAACTCTCCTCTTCTGTCTCAGCTCCTTCCCTTGTTGAACCCAGAGAGACTGCACCTCTTTGCCAAAGCTTTTGATTGCATAGGTAACTTTCTTTTCAGGCGTTTTCTCCAGCCAAGCCAACCAGTCATGAAGGATTACAAGTATTGGTAGCCTATTTATCTTATATGGCGGAGTTGAGTATATTCCCCAAGAGTAGATTTCATCAACTTCACTGATTGTGAACTTAGATAGCCATCCATGAAGAGCCTCAATATATGCCTTCTCTGCAGAAACAATGGCGGCAAAGCAAGTACGCCAGGTTTGCAGTTCTGCCTCGAGCTCAATTGTGGCTAAGCGATGTGAGCCATTGCAAAATTTTCCATAAGCAGGACAGTTAAATAACCTCACTTGATTCAATATTTGGTATTGGGTTTCATGTGATTCCAACATCATCTTCCAGTGTCTCATAAGGCTGCATAGGTGAAAGATATGGGGTCATGACAGGTGAAAATTTAGGACTCTCAAGATTTTTTTTGTAGAAATTCGAGACTTACCCATTTAACAGCTCGACAAGTTGTGGCAACAATTCTTCATTTTTCAGTTTTAGGATTCTCCTTGAAATCGATTCAGCAGTTTGAACTGAAACCAGTAGCCTGGCATGTAATTCTAATACTTCAGCAGTAGCTTTATCCTCATGATTGAGGCTACCTTTTCGAGTTTTTTTATTTCTAAATCGAGAGCATTTCCTCTCAAATATTTCTCGGATTTCCTTTCCAGCCTGAACATGGGAAGAAGAGGATCAAACTTCAATACTTAATATAAGTTATTTTCCTTTAAGAAGCAGAATTTATATTTTATTCAAACGGAAGTTAAATGGCTGCCACACTTGCTGCCATTGCTAGTACAGATGCCTCTTACACTCGCTGTTTATATTTACATTCTACTATGATCAAACATATGGTTTAATTCATTTTCAAAATACCATTCAGCTTTCTTTAAGTGGAATATGGATCAAATCCTTTTGGCCTACAAATATACGGGAGCATGACCAGTATATCGATGTATTTCTACAGAACACTGTTGACTAACTAATGCTATGAACATAATATCTACACGGAGACATCAGACAGCCAAGGCTGTGCTTTTATAATTTGCGGCTACTGCTTGTCATTCGTGCACAATTACTAGAGAAGAGAGGATTTTGAAAAGAAAAAATTGAGAAGTCCAATTCCAATCTTTACATATTCTACATACCTTAACCTCCTCATAGAGTTTCTTCTCCCAAGCATATAACCTTTCTATCGTGGATGAGTGGCTACCTGACCCCATCCCTCCACATTCATCATACGAATCAATACTAAGTTCCGTCCATGAGGAAGAACCTTGCGAACCTGAAATCAGCAGACTCTTACTGGAGGAAGAATGCAATGAATTGGATCGGTTCCATGTTATTGACCGAATCAGTTTCTTCGAGCTCTCTGCATCAAGTACGAAACGAATATTTTGATAAACTTTTCATCTTGGCAATAAACATGCAAGTAAAGAGCAAAAGATATGTGCAACGATGGTCAAACTTATTACTGCGTGATCAAACAAGAGTGGGGTTTTTTAAAAATAAGTAAACAATTATATAAGGAAAATTTTACTACACATAAATTTTCATGGCTATTCAATCGGCCCAATCATGCAAACGCAGAACGCCTACGATAATAGCAAGAAAAGATATAACTCACCTTTGATATCGTCCAGGCCAGATAGCAAAGGGACTCTATTAGCCTCAAGCATCCTTGAGACAGTCTTACCGGAGTTGTAAGCCTTGATAAAATGGTCCTCTACATCCTTCAATGCTTCCAACAGTTGCCTCCCGTCTTTTTCTCCATTAATCTGCCTCAAATCTTCGCTCCCACATGCTTCCAATTTGGAATCATCCCTGCTTCTAGGCGCCTTAATCTCATCCACGACTCTTGTTCCACATCCCACTCTTACACTATCTTCATATGTGTTCTGAGTTAACCCTCCCACATCAAACAGATTGAAAAAATCCCACTGATAACTTCTCCTTGCGGATGGCAAGGGTGCACTCACATCACCATAAAAATGCTCACACAAGGGTTCCTCTTCGTCACTGAACTCTTCATCTTCTTCCTCGAAATTTTTTGGGTCTTTAGATTCTTTGCCTTCTGGAGTTCCTCCTTGGTGGGGTTCAGATGGTTTATGCTGAAGAAAAACGGGGTTGTCAATGAGAGCTGCAGTTTCAGAGGTGAAAGTGGAAGGATAGGTGATGAGAAATGGAGAAGGCGGCGATGAATGTCTAGCTACAAACAACCTTAAGGCCAATGCGACGGAATAGAGAGATTGATTATACTTCGAGTATGCCTCTGCGAATGCAAACCTACGCTCTAGGGCCAACTTGATGAGGCATTTCCTTTCTCTGCAGAAGGACACAACGTCGTCTTCTTCGCTCAGCTTCTTTGAGGTCGCACAACCCATTCTCTCCAACGAGCAATTCGGTTCAAAGCAGGGAATGCGGCGTAGAGAAAGCGTGAGGACGCCCTCGCAAAACCGGACAAAGCACCCTTAAGATTCCAAACGAGCTCCGGGGAGTGCAGTGGCCAGTAATCTTATTTTAGGAGCTTAATGTGCAACCCACTAGCCGGACTAAAGTCACGCACTTGGCTCCCTCGTTTATCGAAAGAGCAGAACCAAACAAAAAGAGGATGCCCACTGAAGCATAAAGATCGAGAGGAAATGGAGGAAAATGCCGCATTGTCATTAATAACTGAGTAATTATAATCTACGGAATTTATCGCCGGTTCTTCTGCCCAATGCGTTGTTCAACAGAACGATCACAAACCAAACAGTCGGTTTTTTTTTTTTTTAATATATTATTACAACTGACAATGGTCAAAAAGAACAGAGCGCAAAAAGACTAGAAGCATGATGACTTGCTGGAATGAAGCAAGCGCCTTCGCGCGCCACACAAGGCATTTATGAAATTTATGAAATAAGTAAGTAAAAGAGCATCTTTGCTACCGGTAACGGTACGACGGCCAAGTAAATCCATCTTAAAATTTTAACCTCGGGGGTAATTAGTGTACTTAACTAGTCCTTCGGTACTTAATATGATTATTGATTTTAATTTTAAATGCACCACTTATTTTTTATATTTATTAATTTTTTTAGATTATTTATATAGATACTTTTTTAACTATAATTAAGTAGGAGTGAGAGTAATGATATTAAAAAAGATGATTATACTGTTTAAAAAAATCATATTTATTATAATTAACTAACTTACCTAACTTTCTTAATCTAATTAAATTAGTTAAATATGTCTTATGTTAAAGATAGGAGGAGTATTAATTAGTGCAATTTTCTTTTGAAAGTCTTAAAATTAATGTTGTCACCCTATACTGATGTTTAACAAATGTTGATAGCTAATTGAATAATTCTGCCGAGGTTAAAGGACAATTCTCCTTTAAAAATATTTTAAGAAACAATTAAAATTTAAATTTTCAATTGGTGTAATACTTCTTTGGTCTTTAATATAGGACTCAATTCTTGAGTTGGTTTTGGTCCTAAATATAAGACACATTTATCACATTTATCAATTTTCTCTAAATTACCCCTATAGATACTCCCTCAACCATAATCAAGTAAAAGAGGGAAAGGCGATATTAAGAAAAATAATTATGGTGTTTTAGAAAAAATGTGTTACTTTTCTTATAATTAACCAACTTACCTAATTTCCTTAATCTAATCAAATTAGTTAAATGAGTCTTATATTAAGGGTCGGAGGAGTATTTTTCAAATTAGATGAAAAATCCAAAAACTCGTTATAAAGCTAAATAAGAAGACTTTGGGCTAAAACAACGCATATAATTATGAGAGAATTCCAGTCAAATTCAACTAAAATACCTTAATCTTAATTGAGACATGCACTTTTAATAAATTTTAATTAGGTCATGAGGCTTTATTAGGAATTTATGAATGTTGTTAAATAACCATAATACCCCTCTTTAATTAAAAAGAAAAATTGATTATTTAATCTCTCCCAAATGGTTCCTCTTTTCTCTTATGATTATTTTTCAGGACTAAAAAACACATAAATAATTTTATAATGTTTAAAATTTGTATATATAACTAAAAAATTTTAAAATATTTGAGTCAAAAATTTTAAATTACAACAAAAATACCCTTTAAATAAATATTTTATATTTTTAGGTTGTAAATATTTATTTTTAAGATTTTGAAATATCTGAATTACAAGAAATATTTTATACTAAGTGGTTACAAATTACGTTTTTGGGCTGGAATTCAATATTTGCTTCAATAAATAAAACCTACGTACATTTTAAGAACATAATATTAAATATTTTTGTAATGAAAATATTTTAATATCGTAAAATGAATATTTACAAACATAAAATAAAAAATATTTATTTTAAGGTCATTTATGTTAAAATTTAAAATGTTTTATTAAAATATTTTTAAAGATTTTAATTATATATACAAGCATTAAAAAGTTTTTTTTTTGTGTTTTTTGGTTCTAAAAATAATCATAAAAGGTGAGAGATGATTCTGGGGAGTAAAATAATCAATTTTTTATTTTAATTAAAGAGATGCATTCTGGTTATTTAACAACATTTAAAAATATTAAATTAGGACTCATGTCCTAATTAGAGATTTATTAAAAAGTATAAACCCTAATTTAAATTTAGATTTTTCCTATAATTATTGTCCCTTTGTCAATCTGCAGTAGAGGCCTCGAAATCTAAAAGCACGTGTTGTTGGGAAAATTCTTGCGATAAATAAGTTGTATGGGGCATCTTTAAGAAAAAAATTCATCGAACCGCTAGTAGAATTCTTTATAAACAACTAAAACATGCAACAGGATGAAATAAGGGATAAAGTGACTTTGCTAACGCAATCTAAAAAGGAGCGAGAATTCACGAGGCTCTGAAACGACAATGCACGAGGCCTATGTGTGGAGACATGTTCATGAGGAAAAGTTTGGGTTAATCCACGCAGCCCACAGGCAAATTCAAATAGGTCCATACTTGCTCCCGATTAAACCTGCGCAAAGCTAGATGCCGCATGCCCAGACGCGCTCATTTTGAGCCATTTACATCTTTTTTTCGATCGAGGGCCCAGTCTTATTTTTCCCTTGAAAAAATTATGAAGATCATTTAGTAAATTAGCTTCATATTATCATGGAGACGATTTAAAATTTCAGCATGTTAATTCCATTTAAAGCTTTAAATTAGCTTCTTAATAATATATAAAAGCAATGTAGAATTCTAGATTACACAGCTGTGAAAAATGATACTTTTTTAAGTTGTATCATTAATTTTTTAGCCTAATTGTTCTAATGTAAATTGTTTTTTAATATAGAGTGAGTTAAAAAGAAGCTATATTTCAAGACATGGTTAGTACAAAATCCATGTAAAATATACTAAAAATGCCCTAAAAATAATACTGCTTTTGATTCTAATTATAAAACCCCGTTTGTCAGACAAGTATGACCAGGGATAGTATCATATAAGTATATATTAATTAAATACTGGCTTCTTGGTTGGCCCGTGAAATAAAATATCCTCACCTTATAATGTGAATTTTTTTACTCCAACTATGAAATCTCATCAAAAGGTCTTTTGCATCATTCTCCCTTGAACAGCGCTACAGCCCTTTCTTTCAAGTTGAGCATGCGGGGGTCAGAGCAAAACCGCCCCCGGGATGCCCACCAGCACAAGTGATCCTCCGCAAAGGAGCATTAAACTTCAACACTCAACAGCAGCCCCAAGGTAACACCACCCCCAACATCAACAACCCTATCTGAAATAAGAAACGATGGCAGAGAAGATATCCCCTTGAAAATAATTCTCCAGGGACTAAATCGGTACTATCTTCTTGATATTACTCACGCTAGTGAGATACACCAAGTTGCTGGTTATATAGCACAATCCAAAACAGAAAGGGAAGAAAAAACTGATGTTCTTGATATCTATTGAATTGATTAAAAAATTATCTTTTGGATTTGATATACAAGATGACAGATCCCCAAAGCTCAGTCTGTGTTAAGAGTACAACACTAAATACAAAAGTATCAACAGTGCATAGGGCTGGTTTAATCAGCCAGAACTAAGTTTCCAAAGGAGTTGCGCAGGGAGCCAGTGTTTTAGCGCGTAGGTTAACACCTCCACCCCTCACTGATAAAGAAGGACCTCTCACCGGCCCATCTCTGCTCACAAGATTGGAGTCGAGGAATACAACTACTACTGTAATGTCATCATGGAAATGGCGGCGGACACCACGGTCAATTTTCTTCAAATCTGAGTATCTCATCTCTCTTTTTTTGGCTGCTTCATGCAAGGCAGCTTTGACCAGTCTCCGAGCACTTCCCTGCTTAAAAAAATAAAGTGTGCAAGACATTATCTCACCTCACTGTCTGATGCTATGTCTCTACTTTATAGTGTTTAATTCCACTTAGATTATTAATGTTCATGGAAATTGAACATTCAAGACATTTCATTCTAAGTCTAGCTTTTGTTCAGCTTACTTTCCAAGGCTATAAATATGTATTCTGTAGAACTTTTATGAGGAAAACTCATCAGCATGACATGATGGAATTTTTTCAAAAAATATGCAAGACTCTGGTTTCAAATCTGAACAGAATGCATAAATAAATCATAAATAAATTATTAATGAAACAACTTCAAAAGGAATGGGAGAGTAGACAAGTTACAAAAAAGTTAAATGGTTCTAAATATGATATCATTCTCCAGAATTTGACAAATCCGTGTTAACTATTAAACACTAAACAAAATGGAGACAACCATTCAGTTTATTAGATTAATATCTTACACTGCGAGGGTGATTTTGAACTATGTTAACAGCATCCTGATTGCTAAGGTGTTCCCACAAACCATCAGAAGCGAATATGAGGAACTGATCATGCTGTTGAAGTTCATGGACAGAAATAGATGGCTCAGAGCTCAAAATTGGTCTGCTAAAAGGTTCACGAAGACGAAACTTAGCATACAAAGGTTCCTTGTTAAATTCTGCCCTTTTGAGATATACATCACCAATTGATCGAGAAACCTGAAATACAAGATTTTCATGATCAAGAAAGGGGAGGAAAGCCATACCATTAAGACAAAACTTAGCATACAAAGGCTCCTATCATTATGTTTCAGGTAAAATAAAATTTAATTTGGCACCATAGATTTGGCTCAGTTCCACTTTGGTGCCTTAAGAATTAAATGTTAACAATAAAGTGGTCAAAAGTTTTAAGTTATTAGTACATTGGTATCCTACTGTATCAAGTCATTAATTCTTTGACAAAATCCTTTAGAATTTGCCCTAAATAGGTGATTTCCTCGCTAAATCCTGAATTTTCTATGCAATGAAAATTGAAATCCTTCCTTGAGCCAATTGGAATACCAAACCGGATGCCCACAACACAACATACCCTAAATTTTCCCTCAAAGTGGAATTCTTATTTTTGTACCTGAATTCCTGTGTTCCCAATGACATCCCTAATTTCCTAGACATTGAAAATGGAAATCCCTCCTCTAATAAATTGGATCCCCAATTTGACACAAAAGACTACATCTCCAAATCTTTCCCATCAAATAGAATCTTTAATAGGACATCAATCAATTTTGCCTTGAATTCCTCATTTCCTTAGAATTCCAAATTTTGTACTAAGTGAAGACCCGAGTTACTCCCTTGACCAATAAAAATCCCGAATTTACAATATCTTAACCCAAATATTCCCTGGAACAATATCTCTAATTTTGGCTGATCTCCAACTATATTCTAGCTGATATTCACTTACACCATTTCAAATATTGCTTAGGCTAAGCCAGCCATAATACCTTATACCACATTATTCCTTCTGATCCAGAAAAAGTGTCAATGATCTCATAACGCCCATTTCAATCCAGAGATTCAAAAGTTGAACATTGATTCTAAAGATATTCATTCACTTGACATCTTTCTAGAAGCTGCAGATGGGAAAAACTGGATGCCTCATGCCACAAAAATGGGTCCGATCAGCAAGCATCCAGCAACTCTGCCAGTCCATAGCTTCACTATATTCTTAAGGGCGAAAGATGTTCCCATATGTTGACCTGCCA